GTTGACGGAGGGGGCTGTTGCGTTCCGAGGCACGCCGGGGCGTGCCTTGGCGGAGGGGAGTCGTGTTGGGGGCGGGTGTGCGAGGACGGGGCCGGATGCTGCTGCGCGTCGTCGTCGGTTTTTTTTTTTGTCTCTCCTTGGTCACTCCTTGCTGGTGGTTGTCCCGCTTTTTCCCTCCCCCTCCTCTTCTGCAACACGCGTGTTGTTTGCGCTTCTAGGACAGCTTTGCAGTAACAGTATTGCACCCGCGGTGCCACGCGTCGACGAGGAACCGAAAGGAAAAGTGTCCAGCGATGGAGTATCGCATCAATGAGCTTGGCCGTTTTCGGATCCTCCTTGGCGGCCTTGCCGCCTGACTCGCCATCTCCGTGTTTTACGGTTTCAATCTTCTCAGTAACCACCTTCAGAAAGAGTACGGCTTCAATACGAACGACTTGACCACCATAACAACAGCTGGCATTGTCGTTGGGTTTGTAACGTTCCCTGGGGGCATGCTGCTCGACTATGCGGGGCCGATGTGGGTGCTCATCATCGCCACCACTTCGTGTGCGCTGGGCGCTCTTCTCTTTGGGCTGACGTTTCATGGCCTCATCGCCGCCTCCGTTGTGCGTATCTCCGTCTTTTGTGCCTTTCTGGACTTTGGGTGCACCTGGTTTGATGCTGGCTCGCTGATGGCGGTGCTCGGGAGTTTTCCAAAAACGAGGGGCTTTGTGGTGGCTTTGATGAAGACATATGGTGGCATCGGCGCCTCCGTGCTGGCTGTGATCAACTACAGCTTTTTCGGTGACAACTATGCGGCCTACATGTACTTTATGACGATCGCTGTGGTTGTGCTGGGATGCATCGCGATTGCTTTCGTTCGGTTTCCACCGTACCATCTTGTTGACTACGAGAAAAAGACCGTGCCGCAGGAGATCCAGGAGCGACGACGACTTATCGAGCCCTACTACCTGCGACAAGCCCCTCCGATGCGACGGTTCATTCTAGGCTGCCTCATCATTGTTGCGCTGATCATCTACCTGACGACGCAGTCACTGTGCGTGGCATTCGTGAGCGGCATAAGCGACGACACCCGCATGGGCATCACCATTGGGGCGATTGTGCTTGTGCTGCTACTGTCGGTGATTGCGGCGCCATTTCCGTTTCTTGGTGGCATGTCCCAGCCGCCGAACGAGTTCCTCCCGCCGCTGCCGAGTAATTCGACGGAGGAGCAGCAGGGAGAGGAGGTGTCGCAGACGCAGGAGGCAGACAAGGCTGAGATGGAGGAGGTTGCTCAGAGCGGCCTCGACCCGCAGTACCAGGGCAGCTTCTGGCAGGACTTGGGAACACCGGACCTGTGGATGCTGTTCTGGACCACGCTGGTGACGTGGGGTTCCGGGGTCGTCATCAGCCTCAACAGTGCCCAGATATACCGTTCGCTGAACAATAACGAGTACGACGCTGCCACAAATACGATGTACTCGGCCATTCTTGGTGTTGGGAACGGTGTAAGCCGTTTGGCAATGGGAGTGCTGGAAGTTATGCTTCTCCGCCGGCCTCCAGAGCAGCGCCCGGCAATCAGCTGCCTTCTTCCGATTGCATCGTGTTGCTTGTTCCTAAGTGTGTTGGTGCTGCTGGTGTTGCCGCTGCGTTCCAAGGCCATCATGATTGGGTTCTTCCTTGGCGGGTTTGGCAACGGCTTGGCCTGGGCGCTCACGGCCCTGGTGATGCGCTCCCTGTACGCGAAGGACATTGGCAAGCACTACAACTTTATGTTTTTGGCGGCGCTTCTTGGCATTATTGCGATCAATCGCTTTGCGTACGGAGAGCAGTACACGCAGGCGGCGAGGAAGGGCAACTCCTACCCCCACTGCGGCGGAAAGGCATACATCCAGAACGGGTTCATCGTTCTGCTATGCGTAAACGCGTCTGCTATTGTTACCAGCGTCCTTGTGCACATCCGCTTCACCCGCTACGTCAGGAAGACACGTGCTTCCCTAGGGGCGGGTGGACATGAGCTTAACGCCTCTGACACAGAAGCGCGCAAGTCGTTTCGCACGCCCAAAAAAAAAAAAAAGTAGTAGGGGGTGGGGGGAACGAAAAGGACAAAAACAAAAACTAGACTCTTGTCAAAAACGGAGGAAAAAATAGACAGGTAAACAATTTTACTGAGGATTAC